CTCCACCCATCCATAAAAGCCTGATTTTCTGTACTGAGCTTGTGGCTGCATGAGCTTTACCTACCTGCTTGCTCTCCACCGCGTTTTACCGAATCGACTGCTCCCGCCGTCCAGTCCTTTGCGTCCTTGGCTAGGGTTTCTCCGCGGGCGGCAGCATTTGATGCTAAAACTCAAAGCTCCAGATGAATCGCTCAGAAATAGTGATGTACTGCATTTGTTACATCTAAATATACCTGCTTCCCTAGCCGAACTTCCTAATTCTCCGGCTTTCTGACCAGTCACATCCCCTAAAAATTGAACATTGTCTCTATTCTCCTCTCAGCATAGCTATATTTCAACCTACACGCTTGCTTCGCTTTGTCACCTGCCTCCCTTCCTGCGTCCGACAAGAAGGCTCCAGTATCTTTGGCTAAAAAATTTTTATTCGTGGAAAATGCTACTCTCAAAGGCAAGGGTGCGATTAGATCCTTAGGAAAGAAATTCTGCTTGGGTAAGATAGCAGGGCCTCTAGTCACAAGGTTGGTGATAATGTTGCTACTAAAGGTGCAGCAAGGGAGCTAATGCCTTCACTTTACCGCTGCAACCGCTGCCATCTTATCAGTCGCAGCACACGTGGCGTCTGCGCCCTCTCGCGTACGACGTGCTCTCTCGCGTTTTCCTCTCCTCGCAACGTTGGTTTTTATCGTACGGTCGACCTCACAAGAAAATTCCAGTATTTTCTATGATGCTTTTTGCTTCTCCTCTTTGCATTTCTTATCTAATTTTTAATCAAAATAACCCACGAATTCGATCGCGATCCGTGCTTTCAAATTTATCACCTACTAGAAATGTACTGTTGCTCTCGTTGCTTATGGTGGTATTACCAGAAATGGTTTCTATGAATACTTTTGATGGTGCACTCTTAAGGAGAGGTGAAAAATGCTGAATTTGCAACCACTGGAAATACCTGCAGTTTTAGCGGAACTGCCTAATTCGTCGGCCTTCTGACTAGCCACATTCCCTGAATAAAACCTTCACTTTTCTGCACTTCAGTCATGAAAGGGTGGAACTGAAACACTGTAACTTACAAGCTTGTTTCGCTTGCTCACCCACTTCCCTCCCTGCGCTTGACAAGAAGTTCCCTGTATCTTTGGCTGAAAAGGAGTTTTTTCTTAGGCGAAAAGAGCTTCGTTGTACGAAGATATGATAAGATAAGGGAATAACTCCTATTGGTGGTACTACCTAAATGATTGCTCAAATACTCTAGGAAGTGCTCCAGAGCAACAGAGCGATTGAAAAAAATTGAAAACTTTGTTTTAGTGGAGGTTTTTTGAGAACGCGTCACATGTTCAAGTTCCACTGAGGACTGAAGAGGACGAAACCGTATACATCGTACAATGGCAGAATCCTTACTAAAGTAGAAAGGGTTCCATCTTCGTCTTCCTCTTGCGAAATTGTGAGGTACTGAATCCGAGTTTTCAACGCGAATTGACAGCGTGATTGCCCTACTCATCTGCTGTTGATCACTTCTGCGGGAAATAAACCTGGCGCAATACCATCCCAAAGTATTCCATGTAAATCTAATGGAACAATCATATAAATATTACTTTTTTACGAATTTTGACAACAGTAACCGCCCTGCCAGAACTAAATATTTTAGTCTAGCAACAAATTAAACTCATACACGGTAATGCATTTCACCCAGTTGACTCGGATTGTCCAGCTTTGCTGATCTTGAATGACATCCTCTTCTGGCTCGGGCCTTAAGACTATTATTCTTCAAATGAGAAATTTGATCCAGTTTCTAGTTGGAATTGTCCTCTAAATAAATTATTATACTACTATGACTTCTTTGAAACCAGCCACTAAGTAAAAAGTACCGTAAACTTAAAGGCAGTGATCATGATAAAGTGGTTGCGCGCTCGGGAGCATGTGCGTGACTAGAAGCGGTAGCCGTGGTCAAGAAGCCAGGTGTGACGAGGTGAGCTAGTTGCAGCGCAGTTAGGGCCACACACCAAGCAACATATCACGCAAAACCGTATTGCTGGCGTCAATGGATCTTATTCCTAGATTATTTATATTTCAAAGCTCATATCATGTTTTTGCCACATGAATCTTTGCGTTTTTAGGGAGGTTAGGTTGTTCCACAACCGCAGAGATTGTGTTGCTTTCGCGTCTCAGATCGAGGAAAAAAATACACCCTGAAGACCTATTGTGGTGAAGCATAGCATTCTATCCCACGTGGCGTGCACGTGCGATGGCATATTCTCGCATGGTGTAGTCCCTTTCCCGGGTTCATACTTTCGCCCGAAACTCTACAGAGCCCTAAAATATGAGAATCAAAGTACTTTTTGTCAAATAATTCAACCGTCCGCAAACCAAATCGTTCCTTGTTAAACTACGTGCAGACAAGCAAAGACATTAGGTTCATTTTTGTAGCCTCTCACGGACAGTGCTACATATGATTAAATTTTTTGGAAAACATTCTTATAGTTATTGTTGCCTAAATGTGCGTTGACACTTACACATCAATAAATTTCCTGAAAAAATGGCCAGTGAAAAATGTGTGAAATTCGGTCACGAATGAACTGTTGTCAATGATGTCGACGGTAAGTGTCCAATCTGGCGCATAAGCCCGAGACCATGGCGTGGAAAACCCTGGATTTTAGCAAAAAACCTCAAAACTAATGTAAAGGAGGAGTGCTCAGCCGTTAAACGACCTCGATCTTATGCACATAGATCAAAACCCGTACCCTTCCTCGAATTCTGCGGAGTTTGATCAACGTCAGGTTGAGGTGGAGGTTGAATGGTGTCGAGGGGTGGAGTGTTTGGTTTACTCACTTAAGCACAACTAAAGTCCTTAATGTTGGTCCACCGCTTGCGTCATGAGCGGCGTCTGATCCAAGTTAGCTTGCTACATATCTTTATCCGTTGACCCTGTTAGTTCTTACTGATTATGGAATTGTTTACAGTGTGAAGTTTTGGAACGCGCGAGTCATATTTATTTTTTGATTTTTCAGCTTTTACGAGGCGAACAGCCGAACTTAGCCTAAGCTGGTGTCGAGTGCAAGATTTGTCGCGCGAAATCCGTCCGAACCGCGCGAACGGATCATGAAATCATCAATGTCTCATTCTATCACACAAGTGCTTAATCCAGCCCGCCATTCCCGCTCGATGATGACGGTCGACTGACGACTGTTCATGATTCTACTTGTTTCATAGTCACTGTGTTTCAAATGTTCGAATGGGGCTCTTTCGATTTTTGTGTTCACTGCAGTCAAATATTAATCTGATCAAACTATGCCAAGAATAGAAGAAGGTCAATCCTTGACTCTCATGAAGAAGGTACCTGTAAGCTGTTTGCATTAGACATTCCCACTTTATTGTGCGCCACGCATTCTACTTCTATCAGAAATCGCATAACATTCATGGTGAAGGTGTCTTATTGTTAGCAACTTTTTGCTGCAACCCTTTGTGCTGGTCATACGAGGTAAAATTTACAATACAACCAGGTAAATCGTGGCTAAATGGTGCAGCGCCCCTTCAATTCGTTTTTTTTATCTCAACCATTGACAGACTGCGACATCACAATGCTTTTGAAAGGTTTTTTTTCCTTTCGCTAGATAACCTTAACCTGTTATCCGATTCACACACGAAAAATCTGTAATAACTGGTAAACTTACCGTAACTACAGAAACAAGGAGTAGTGCGAGCAGAATGGAGTGCATGATGTCGAGTCAGAATGCGAAATGGATGTTGGGTAGCGTTCAATGGGCCTGATCCCGGATAATCAGCTGGAAAATACTCACTCTGTCAATAACGAAAAACGATGACACACATACAGAACAAACTGGTTACGGAAATGAGAGCCGAAAAGTTCAATTAAGGATCATAGCGCATCAGCACAGAATGCAGTTGCATACATATACGAAAAGTGAGCAAGTGAATTCTGATCGGAAGCAGCGACTCACATAGTTTTAGAAGGTTAGAGGGACGAGGTGTGCTCATTGGTACGCCAGTTTCGAATAAAGCAATAAATCCGTAAGAATACGGACCGGGCCCTTTTCCGCCGTGCTTTCACTTAAGAACAGGTACAGCTTAGAAAGCGTGAGATATTGAGATTCACTGTTTTGCATGGTGTGGTGCTCAACGCAGCTCGTCATAAACCGACGTGAAACTAGAGGCGATCGTTTTTAGGAGCGGATTACCTCGGATTTTATCTGTAACACGCCCTTTGTGCGTAAAAGCACCAGTCTTCGTTTCTTGCAGCCGAGTACTGCTCGTGTGGTGCTTATCCTTTTCGAATCGCTCCTCTCATTTATCGCATCCTTCCTTTGAAACAAACACATATAGTCGGTTCCGAGCAATCTTTCGAAGGAACTTTTGATAAAGAACCGCTGTGAAATTACTCACCTGAACAAAATTCCGTAAGCGGGGGTGAGGAGCCATGCTGTTGACCTAGGGAACTAATGATAACATTGATGTTTCTGCTTTGCTTTCATCAAGGCTCTTTGCAGCCTTGGTAACTCTTAATTTGTTCAACACCCGTATTTGTTTATATAAGGTGAAGTATTTGTTGTGAAGGCCAAAGACACATCGCAACACAGCAGCGATTCTGGCTTGAACATCTAAAACCTAACTCCTCATATCACCATTTTTCCATCACTGTTGTAGAATTGGGTGTCAAGCAGATTCTTAGGAAGCTAAGTCAGGTAACTCTATATGAAAACCCGCTCATATGTAACTAGATAGAGGTTGGAATAGGCCCACAGAGGAAAGGAGGCCACCAAACTGCACGAATACCATTTTATTCTATGTAATGGCGTACTGTCTACCCACGTTTTCCGATAAGCTCCCTGTTTATGGATGGGAAGAGATAATGAGGTATAGAGGTTGAAAACATAACAAATGCAATGTACATCAAAACGAAAAACACGGCTGTTGTGTTGGCTGAAAACCGCTAGCCTTTATAACTCAAGCCTTTCAGAAATTGAACAAAGGGCACAAAACACCCGTGCGAAGTTGTTATTGAAGCGGTGGAATGACTTTTAGGAGCATGGATTCTTAACGGAAAAGGTGTAGTGTTTCGTGCCTTAAGATGTTAGATGAAACATTCATTTCATGGCGCTATACCAATGAGGTGGGAGGGGGCATTTTCATGCAGAAAACCTAAAGCAAGGCATGGCATTTGCTGCCCATTCTATGCAGAGCTGTAGGAGGTCTCTAGTTCTATGCAGAGCATCTTTCCCTGACTTAAAGGCAGCGATTACGATAAATCTTGAAGGGGTTAGAGAGGAGTGGGGGTGCTCAATAGTACGCCAATGGCGAAAAAAGCAGAGAAATCCGTCAAAAATACGCAAAATAGTACCCCCTTGATTGCCCGTTCATTTTCGACCATGAATGAGCTTCGACAAAGAAAGTTGTTCGGACGTGATAACCCTGACAGCTCATCATGCCAACAGCATAGTGTTTTGAATGATATTTGAAGTTCTACATAGGGTAAGTGCACAAATGCTTTAGTTCCAAGGTGCTTTCTGAATCCTTCGGCAAGTGATTACCCACTCCGGAGCTCTTCCCTCTCTCTCAGACTTGGGCAAAATGTTCATCACCCTCAAGTCTAACTTTGGCTCCTCTGTACCAAAACTCCTCCTTGTCCACCTCAGTACAGCGATCAAATTGTCCAAGCTCAGAGTAATTCGACATTTCAAGAAGCCGGCGCCTAGTCAGCTGTAAGTTTACAAATGACTAAAGAACTGGTGTGGCAGTGGACTTCACCGCTCACGGTAGAAGCGCAGTTTCTGAAGATGACAGTCGTGTAAAATAAAACTATTCGAAAAAAAAGTGTTCCGCCCCGTAATTTTATGAAGCGCAAGATTACTGCAGCACACTCCAAATTTATCGTGATCCCGGTGCAAAAGAGCGAAAGATAGAGAGTCAATAGGAACGATAAACGGTAGGACAATTCGAATTTGGTACGAAATTGGGCAATCGCTTCCAGTGTAAAGTTCAGTCCGATCAGTCGATTGCGACCCACATCCCGCTATACCTCTGTGATCGAATTGATTCATGTAGGCCGAACTCTAACAATATTATCTTTAGGAAGGGAATCACTTTAACGACGGGGCAAGTCACATCCCTAGAGTTAAGCAACAGGAAAATTTCTGTGTGGATGTACATAATTCCTAGCTCTCGTCCAGTTGGATTTGGTGCAGAGGGCTTTAGGCTGTTGTAACTACTACGAGTACTTTTTAATGAAAGTTTAGAAGAGTCAGAACTAGTTCTCTTTCGAACCAAATTGGTTTGACACCCGGGAATACCCTAACCTGTAAAATCAAGGTTTACTGTGGCTGAAACTGATGAAAATAATGAGCTTATCGAAATGTGGGTATGGACATGTGGCTATTCCATTGGACTAAAACAGTATTCGTACAGTAGTCCTTGCAGTTCGGTGGCCTCCTCCATAAGCCTGGGCATGAACCATTCGGAACTTTCTTCCAAGTACATTTGCGCCACATTCTCTCATGAATGGGAAGAAAGAATGAGAGGATGAGCGGTTCCCTCAGCTATGTACCCGTATCATCGGATGCGTCACGAGTTGATAGCCATTCAAAATCGTAGTAGTTTTGAGCTGTTTGCTAGGTTTGACAACGGGGGGCGTGAGGGATTTGTTGATGTATCCGTCCGAGCTAGCTCCGATCCCGGAAATATGGAGGGTTTAATTGATGTGGGCGAAGTTAGATCCGGAATAACCTGATTTTCGGGCTCTGCACTAGAGAGTGGGACCACTTACAGGTGTACAAGCATCTATCCTCTGAACAGAAGTATCGCTTATTCTGGTGGTCTCTCGAAATCAGAGGCAAAATCGATCGTGTTAGCCTGGTACGAACCTCTACCTGGCGCTCTCCGACGTTGTACTGATCCTCACATCACTTTGGCCACGTGCTGCTTCCCCATTTACAGGCCCATTTTTTTAGGGAACAAAAGGGTCAGGATTCAAATCTGGCTGGCAATTTGCACATAATCAGCGCCTTTACTATGGCTTTTGCATGGTGAACTGCTTGTTGAGAGAGACCGCAATCAACAGAAGAAAAGGATCAGATAGATTTTCTAACTTTTTTTTTATCAAATCAAAGTTACAGGCTCTTTGCACCATTACAGAGGGAATAATTACTTGGGGACTTGGCATAATCATAAATTTAGTTTACTCAGCTATGACTAACCAAATGAGAACTGCAGAGCCTAAACTGGTTCGAACAATCGATGTAATCTTCAAATGACGCGATAACCACAAAGTTAGGATAAAAGTGGTTCTGTTGTGGAAACGCGATGAGCCAACTGAGTAGGTGCTCATCAGTGATGGTTGGGAAGGGATGTCTGGCTGTTTGGCACAGCCGTTGTGGAATTCCAGATGAATTTTTTGAGCATTTATACCTTGGGCTCGGCGCTTTTACAAAGGAAACCGCTCGGAATGTAATGCAAAAATCACAATACAGCAACATTTGTGATGTTAGCAGACGAAATAACGGAGTGTGGATGACTAAGCATCGCGTGCTTGTCACATGTAGACAGATAAAAACACTCAAAGCTAGCGAATTAGGGGTATTTGAAACCTTATGGGGCAAAATTACTGGTGCACCGAAACGAAGTAATTTGCAACTAGAAACCAACTCGAACTATAAACTTTGGGTGCAATACTAGTCGGGTACGCATGCCAATTTTTGAATACGGTAGGCCCGAAATGTATGTGCGTGGGCCCAGTGCTGTGACGTAACGAGACCAATGCAGCGGGCGGGTATGACTCGCACATTCCAGCATTTCACACATGTCAGACTGCCCTCTCCCACACCCCCTGAATTGACTACACTCCTCCTGGCTCATGAATTAACTCGATTCTAATAGCAGTTGGCACCATTCCCCACGTACATAGATTTCGTGCTTACCTTGTCCAAAAGTCGACGTACGCACGTGACTAGCATTGCACCGAGTTTCGTTTACTACAAGCATGACCTATCGGCCTCTGAAGACGACGATTCAGCCAAACCGTCAGGCCACTGAACAAAGAGTTGAACCTAACAACCTCGTAAGGCACGAACTAATAACACACAACTAAAATCCTAAAAATGGCTTAGCTTCAGCTTTGATGTTGAGTTATGGACAAAACTCTTTAGCCGAGGCGGAATCTGTAGATGCCCGGTGAAAACTTTGTTGTTTTGGAAGAGGCCCAATTTCGGGACTAGATGCACTTCGCCGCGTTCCAACACTAGTTCGCAAAGTTTGAAAATGGACTTCATATTGCGAAATCTGCTTAATCTGTTACCGTCTATTGTTTACTCCCCAAGTTGTGCCTTGGGGCTACTGGGGCCTCTGTTTCGGCGCAATACAAGTGGGATGGCCGTGCTGTATTTTCTGGACACGGTAGGCACGACGAAAAGTACGAGGGGACTGCAGCCCACTGCTATGACCTAGCGAGAATCGATGTACTAAGCCTGAGGGTGAGGGAACCTATCCCTTTCCTAAATGCTTATTCTATCGACCGATGGTGTATATTCAACAGTCCAGCATGAAATCACTTCATTATATAAACCAGAACTTTGGTGTGTCGGTTTGTCGGTGTGTGTGTGTCGTTCTGTCCGTCCGGACCGACCGCTCACAAAACCAGGGAGTACGAAGGGCAACACTTCGTGATGTTGATGTCATGATCATGATAACACCCACAGCGGCTATATAAACACCGATCGAGCACACTCAGTCTCATTCTACATGGTGCTGCCGTGGCCGGAGAGAAGGGGTATAAGGAGGTATAACACATCCCATAGTCAGGTGGTTATAGAGTACATTCATACTGACATCCCGTGGTTCCTCTCTACCCTGGGATGCGCGCGATAGCGGGCGGAGCAAACCTGGTACCGTTAAATGTAGAAAAAAAGCAATAAAAAGATAGTGATTATTGATCGCCATGGCGTCTCGCTAGATCATGCAGTGGACACCAGTCCCGCGTACGTTTCGCGCCCACCCTATTTAAATAATACAGTTTGATCATTGATCATCCCGCTCGTATTTCACCTCTGTTTCTCGTGTCAAGTCTCCGAATCAGGTCCATTTCTGCAGTTTTGCGGTTTTTTGTGCACTACTGTTTTTGTCGTCCATCGATCATTCACCAGATCATCGATAATCATCATTGGTCAAATTCTGTGAAGCTTTTCGTGGCAGGAGTCGCCTTTCGTTTCGCTTTTTGCCACTTTAGATGGTCATTTCTTTGGTGTTAGTCACTGTTGGACACTCCGTCTGCCTCTGCCATTAGAGAACCGAACGATCCCGGACGAAATTCGATGCGTCTCTAATCATATGAACCGACGACCACGGATTGCAAGATGCGACCAATTTGCTGTCTTCAGATCCCACAGTGCTTGCGCAGTTGAATTGATTATTGCTATCTTCTAGACAGCTTCATGTGGAAAGACCGTGAGTTGAAGATGCTGTGAAAGCTTGATTCAGAACTCATCGCTGAGAATGATAAGTTGAAAGGAGAAATAAGAGTACGCAAATCTAGTTCAGCCCTTTCGTCTGCTAATTGCTTACAATCTGTTAGAAAATTCCGTGTTGTGTTGATGGCTACCAGTGGTGATTGTTCTTGGACCAGTGGTCCTTTTACCTTCAATGACGTCTATGTTTAGTAACGCAAACTGCAACTTCATTCAATACTTCCAATTAATTAACAATGAAAAATACTAACTCAATAACAATTAATGCCACATCCAACACCTTGTATTATTCTCACAACTGGTATTAGCTTTGATGTAATTTTCTTCGTATTTTGTGCACAATAGTCTTATTCCTCGTTCTGCTCATGAGATTCCTCACATCATGGCATTTTCTGAACATTTTTCTCCAATTCCTCGGCATCACGCTTTCGCTTACTTCTTTGATTCTGAAATAGCATACATTTTTTGCTAATTCTTCTACTAATGTTTAATACTTCATACCACTTACTGTTTCGTCTGTTTCAATATATTCACAACTGCAATCTCGCTGCATTCCATATTTTCTGTATCGAATATAATTTTTCAAAACGATGGAATCCCACACAAGGTGCCCCTCGTTTTGATCGGTGAGTAATTTATACTAATATCATACTCCTTTTCTATTGTACTGTTGCTTTCGCAATTCCACTTAACAAAATTCTTACTTACATTGTAATCGGACAGCTCCTCTTCCGATAACATCGTTCTGAAGAAGAACGAAACGGAGAACCTTTCTAATTGCTATAATTCCATCCTAGCTTTATTGCAAGAGTGGTTGATTTGTATTTCTGAAACTTGTTCTTCTTAACTTTATTCAGCTCTCAATCATATTCCAATAACATTTATGTAAATGAAACAATAACTACATAAATACATACCTTCATATATTTTTGATTCTTCAACGTCATTATTCCTTTTTTAACCAGTATCTTTGATGTTCGATTTACCTTACCATATTTTATGATCTTTTTACGAGGTACAAGCTGCGAATCTTTACATATTTTACATAACATAACATACATTTTTAAACTAATCTCACCTAAGATTAACAGTGTCACTCAGTTTCAAGGTCTGGTCCCTTATTACCTTCACTGCACAATGTATTTGTAGTATATTCCATAAAACTCTTTCTACCGCTCTCCATGAAAAAATCCCAAAAGCACGAACTCATCTCGGCCTTAAAAACTTTTACAAGTTGTTCGTTCGTATTTCGTCACCTAGTTAACTCTGAAATTTGAAGTTCCTTTGGAGGATCAAGCCGGCTTGGCCCATCCTAACGGGTTACAGTCCTTTACATTCTTATATCTGAAAAGCTCTTCTTATATCCTGAAAAGCTCGGCCACAAAGGCCGCTACTAAACCACCACTGCACGGGCGCTTGGCCACTGAGGCCCCTAGACTGATCAGGTCACACAGACCTCTTGAATACGGCCACGAAGGCCCTCAACGCAATAGGCCACGAAGGCCACAGAGATTACAGAGAATAACAGGAGTAGGCCGACCACCTCCCCAGCCGAACACCAGGTCAGAATGTCTAGACCCACTACGCCATCTCACTCCGCTACCCCGCGCGATCACTACCACTGCTGATCTCTCCGGATCACCTGGTAGACCTTGTGTTTCGGGGGTCGCTCCTCCGTGCTGCGTTCTCTCTCTCTTCGGCCCGTGTCGACATGCCCCCTTGCGGTTATCGATGGCCTCATCGACCGATCTCCCTCCAGATACGGTAACTGAAACTGCGGCACTCTGCAGCGAATATTTTCGTACAGATGTTTTGCAGCGGCCACCCCAGGGTACAACTTATAAAACTGCAATGCCGTTTCTGGGCATCCTGCCTCTAGAAAAAGCTTACCATCACTAAGCATATTGCTTGTCGTCGTGACTATTTGATCCTAACCAGCGAATTTCAGAAGCGTAGTGTCGATCGTGCTCCATAATTGGGACATCGTAATCCAATCTGCAAGTGTCTTAGCGGTCACCGAAGTCCACACGGTGACTATTCTACCACCATCTTCCAAATGAGCTTCTGCGAGCTTGACGAATTCTATAGTAGCACCTTCCAATTTGCGCTCCATCGGCGGTATTGTTACCCAAGTATCATATGCCATCCAGTCCGTGAAGGTATCTTTCAAACTAGCGAATGCCTTCACCACTCTCGTAAGCTTTCCCTAGGCCCATCTTTTTCGAGCAGAACTGCCGATTCGGGTGCGGCAAAGCCTACCGGGCCCACTTTCCAGCGGTCGTGCTGCCTGGGCCTCCTCCTCCTAATTCTTCTTTAACTTTCTCCAGTAAGACTTCGTAGAATTCTTCCACGCTGTGTTCGTCTATTCGCGATTGCTGATTTCCACATGTGAATTCCGTCCGAAATGTGCACTGATAATAGGCCAGTCTCAACATCGCGCACAAGTTGCGTTTCTAGCATGACACCGCGTTCGTTGTACAAACGGATTTCTCTCGTGGTTGTCATGTCTTCGTGATAAAAATTGACGAGAATAGAATCCCTTTGATATCACCGAGTGTTGTTTTCTTGAAACAGTCATCCAAACACTCGTACAGCAGATGTCCTTTGTCGGATACACTGGTAACCGTGGCTTTTCTGAAAGAAATACAATTAGAAGTCGATTCTTGCCACTTTTACCTTACTTTTTCTGCCCTTACGTCCTCTCCCGTGTACAGTATCAATTCTATCGTTCGGGATGCTTTTAGGCACTATTCTTAACATATCGAATTGTACCCTGATTGGTTCGCTATTTCCCCCTATTCTGGTAACAAGGGCAGAATTATTGTTTACCTCAGTGACTATAAAGGGGCCTTCCCATTCACGTACTAGTCTGGGATGTGCGTTTCGCGCTTCCTCTTTGGGCGAAAAGGCATATACACGATCTCACACTTTTGGGTACCTCCTCCCATCCACCTTGTGTTGGCTATCACAGTGTTGCTTTACCTGTTGTCTTACCCGATTGTTACGATCCTCTACCCGCTCGTGGGTTTCCGCGATGGCTTGCAAGATCTCCGTTTTGTAATCTCCTAGGGAGTTACCCATAGAATACCAACTTATGCCTGCATTTGGTAATACTTCAGACGGAAAAACTGGATCCATGCCATGAAGCAGGAAGTACGGGATTTCCCCGTCGCTCTACGTGGAATCATATTGTACGCCATCATGCAAAATGGTAACCTAGTATCCCACTCTGTAGGTATGAGCGTACATTTTCTTAATATAGCTACGATAGTTCCATTCATTTTTCCGTTAGTCCATTCTCACTGGGATTGTACCCTTTCCTCGTTACACGCGTGATTTTCAAAATTTTCGTATTTTCCTGCATGACCTGGTTCACAAATTCTCCGCCTTTGTCGGATAGTGAAGTTTTTAGCCATCGGCAATTGTCCATCTAGTAAACACTGCCCTTGCGATCATTTCTGCCGATTTATCTGGCACAGGGTATACGCCGTACCTTTGCAAGAGTGGTTATACTCGTTACTGCGTACCTACTGCCTTTAGTGGTCGGTCCTAACTCTAACACATCATCACCCACAATTTCATATGACTTCGCTCTAACTATGCGCTTCAGGGGCATCCAAGTTGTCGCATAGTACACGACAAGTAATCAATTACAATACCACTGTTTATCGAAATGCACGTAATATACGCGTTGAAAAAAAAATCAGCGAAGAAAACGCCATAGATCCGAGATCACGCCTGCCGCCAGAATTCTGACACGTTAATCAACTAACTCATTCCTTTGATCAACAATCGGAAGATTCCACACTCACTACGAATACGACCTATCGCCCATATTACTACAGTATTCGAGTCGTGATATGTGACTGACTACGATTGATCAAGCAAAGCACCTCACACAACCCGACACAAAAATTTATTGAGTAAAAAGCAACGAAACATATTAAACGATAAACGAAAACGCGTTAACAGAGACGAGAACTATTGGGGAAGAAATGGTCGCCCCCAGTTAATCGATAGTCCGGTGAGCAGAAGAAAGAACTGGAGCATCGATCCCCTCCGCGCTGGAGTGGTTCCCCCTGTTACGCCTCTCTGATCCCTCTGGACGCCTGCAGGTCAATTAGGGACCTAGTGCTATCCTGGGAAAGCTCGGCCACAAAGGACGCTACTAAACCACCACTGCAGGGGCTCTTGGCCACTAAGGCCCCTGGACTGTCACACAGACCTCTTGAATACAGCCACGAAGGCCACAGAGATCACAGAAGATAACAGAGGTAGGCGGCCACCTCCCCAGACGAAACACCAGGACAGAATGCTAGACCACTACCGCCATCTAACTCGACCCTTCATCTCCCCGCCATCACAACACTCCTAATCTCTTCAGATCACCTCAGTAGGCCTGTTGTTCGGGTGCTCTCCCGCTATGCGTTCTTTCTCTCCCTCCGCCCGTGCGAAAACAGACGAATAAGATAGTATTTAACAAGCAATATATAATAAGACTCAGTCAGTTTCCGTTAGACAGTAACTTTGAAAAGCAAACAGATAAAAAGTTCTTGAATGCTTATTTAGCAGTATATTTATATAAACAATAATTAAACCTACAATCCTATCAGAGTATTACAAATACCTATTGCAACATCGTTAGTCGAAAAGTATACACACTACAATTAACACATTAGAAAATCGAATACAAAATTCCAACGCTATTATCGAAACAACAAAGTATATCTAGTACTCATTTCAGTGAAGGTATTATATAACGGAACATCGTCATACTTCATTACAGGAAGATAATATGTATATTACAGGAGATATAATCGATATAATTGAAGCATCTAAAACTAAGAAATATTCTACAATAACTCTCAAGACAAACTGATACCAGAAGATCCAGGAATTACTTAGAAATAATGTACAATAATCTATTGATCATTGTCTAACCATTCGAGACCTCGCCGTGTGTAGTTTATTTTATGACACGTCCTATTCAGAATAGAGCAAAAGTTAGGCAAAAAGCCATGGGAATGCGCGAATAAATTTATATTGTCACACATCTTCGAAGTGATCGCATGCGCTGCCCACAATTCGTCAAATTAATAGGACATCCGAATTCTGAGTTTATGCTTCCTGAGTATTGAATTTTGCTCTGACTTGCCTTTTGTTATCATTTATAGTTTTTTTATTAGATATCTGACGTTATTTTTTCTTACTCAGCCCTCTGAGTTTCTCAATAAGTTGCTATGTTCGGAATCACCTTTCAAAAATGACATCCCGAGTGATTATTTGCTAAGGGAAATATGAAACGTGGGAGTTGATCTATTATTTTTTAAGGTTATTCACAAGACATAAGAGATTGTAAGAGAATGCCGCTGGCAAAGCAAGGAGACTATCACTGGCAATGCCCTAATGAGGTAAGCAACACTTTAATGCATTCGCATCGGAGAAAACCAGCGGAAAATATTAGGTTGGAACGATTGAAATGTCGTTTTCGATCATCTTTTATTTTCATTATAAGAATATAATGAAGCACATCAACCCGAAACATCTTCATCACCTGTGTCACAGGTTCATCACCTTTTGTTACGCAGAGCAGACTTGACGACGCAGAGCTTGGCTACGCGTCTAGAACTCCTGTCGTAACCGATATAAGTGGTATCAAATTTGGCTCTTCACGTTAGCGAATTGGCTTTGCTGCTAAGTAGTGCTGCGCTTACCTGTAGTTGATGTGGCACGCCCAGACTCATCCGGCTATGTGGGCGAGAGCAGAAGGTCCCAGTCCTGACCTCGTCGATTTCTTGTTGCAAGATTTTCGCGAGATGTGGTCCTGCATTATCGTGCCATAATTTTTCATTGGCCGGATTTACCCTTTGACGACGCGCGGCCCACGTGATGGAGCTGTTGTGCGAAGAGTTCAGCTATGACTGCATAGCCTACAATCAGTGATTTGATACCCGTTGTTACACCATAGAACCCAATATAAGACACATGGCTTTGTTTCCTGAGTCTGGTTCTCGAACTCACCCTCAGGCTGTCCATATCAACCACGGTCTTATTCTCGCGTTTCGTTAATGGCAAAAACTCTTTGTAAAATGCGGTCAACACGAAGTCAAGAACCTTTTTCCTCTTTAAGTTATGGAGCGAAGTTCCAGTATTGGCAACCAGTACTGCTTGCTCGCGTCGCTCAGAATAGGCCGAACCCATTTTCTATCCTGAAAGGCCTTAACAGTCGCACGTAGGAACTTTTAAATTTTTTGTTGACACAACTGAATCTCCATGCAAGTTTTGTGCGGTTTTCGAGACTCAATTCGTTGGCTTTCCTTTATTTCTCCGTCATCTCAAAGCCAGAATCAAATAAATTCGTTGCCACGTCGTCATTTTACCTCAGTTTGGAAGAGCTGACCATAGCTGAAAGTTGCTCAGCTGGTGTTACTGCACAATGTTTTTACGATAATGAGTGTATTCAGTTGGCGTTTCTGTGCTTGACTTCTATATCTCTCTCGCATGAGGATTTCTGATCAATCATCTTCAAGCAAAAGATTTGGCTCGAAGAACATCCGCTCAGTGGTGCCTAAGGTTTCGCAATATGCGTGCTGAATCGCTCTTTCGAATGAATGGTCGCCCATCCTAAGAGATTGTGTTTAAGGTGAGAAACAAATACAAAACCGAAGACATTACATCGTCCTCACGTAACCTAACTCCTCCTTAAGCAAGGGACACTGTTGAATTTCTACACAATCTGTTAGCAACGTTTTAAGCTTTCCAATAGATCACTAGGAACTGCTTGAAAACTAGTGATGGCAAAAGAATGTCCGATTAGTGCAGTAGTAGATTAAGACCAAAGGCCCTTTATCAGACAAATTGACGTCTTAATGTATGCTATGCTTCATCAATCCCTTCTCGATATTCACCTAGTTAACAGTATTCCAACCAGTGTGATTGATTCTCACGCAGTCATAAAGTAGTAGAAAATTGAGCAACTCCTATGCCTATTTCCAAATATTCGAGAAAGGCAAAAAAAACCACAGGTGACAAAGCTATAAGGTGAACTAAATACACTGTTCTCTGAACAAAATAGTCTGTCTGTACAGTACTTACCTGATGTAGGTATTGTTATCAAGTTGCTGTGAAGTGCAATGTATCACAATCCCGAATGATGCATCGAAGTGACGCAATCACTTCGATGCACAGTCGTTCCACTAGTGAAGCGTGCACAGCGAAATCAGCATAGCATAAACCGGGAGATGTGTCGAGAATGGTGAAACACGGAAAGCATCCGCAGTCTAGTCTACTCTGGCGCGCTCCTTTGTAGAGCGATCAACCACGATAATCTAATCGTTCGGTGATCCGGACGAGTTATCTGGCTGGGATATGGGCGGCGCCTGGGTGGCAACTACAGCCCATGCGCCCCAATGGCAATGTGACCGCGCCATATGAC